CCCTACAGCCCTGCTAACAAACACCACCTTTATTTTAACCTAGGAACCTGGCACCTTCCCTAAGTGTTAATTAAAATGGAACAAAGCTGTGGGCTCAGTCCAGCTCCAAATTTTGCTATATTCTTTCCATTCTTGCCAAGCTTTTCCATCCCCTCCAGGCACAGCTAAGCATGGTGTCCTTTCCTCTCATCCCCTTTTGTGGTGTGCTTCCCTGGCAACCCCTTCCAACCCCTTGTACTCCTTCCAATCCCATTATGTAGGGCATGACATTCAACCTGAACTTGCAGCAGTTCCAGGCAGTTGCACCCATGCCATGGCAGAGAGTCATCACAGCAGGAGCCTCAGCTCTGCCTGACACAACAGTTACAGGTTGTTGTTTTAATTGTTGCTAGAGCAGCAATTGACTGTCCCAGGTTGCCCAGGGAGGCTGTGGCTGGCCCAACCCTGGCAGTGTTCACAGCCAGGTTGGCTGAGCCTTGAGCAACCTGCTCTGGTGGGAGGTGTCCCTGCTCAGGGCAGGAGTTGGGGCTGGGGGATCTCTAAGCTCCATTCCAATCCGTTAACAACCTATGACTCTATGAATCAATGACTTCATTCTTGTTGTCCATGCAGTGTACAGAGGCTTCTGGACAGCCTTCATCCTGCTGGCCGTGGCTGCTGGTCTGGTGGGAGGGCTGCTGCTGGTCTGTGGTGTCCCCTTTGTCAGCCCACACTCCTACAAGGTTGGAGGTGGATTCCTCCTGGTCTCAGGTAAGGGGATGTGGCTGGAGCAGGGATGCAGCTCCACTGTGGAAGGGGAGGCAGGTGAGAATGAGGCACTTCTGGGGGAGATGGGGGCTCTGCTGTGTGCTGTGCTGGCTTGGAGTGCATGATTTTCCTCTCCCTCCACTGGAATTAAACTCCTGTGAGCTCTGAGCAACCTGATCTAGTGGAAGGTGTCCCTGCCCATGGCAGGGGAGTGGAATGAAATGGTCTTTAAGGTTCCTCCCAACCCAAACCATCCTGGGATTGTATTATTCTATGTTCAGTTAGGCTTTAGCAATATAGTCCTTAGTCACAGAGTCCCAGAATCAATCAGGTTGGAAAAAACCTCTGAGATCATCAAGTCCAACCTATGACCTACCACCACCATGTCAACTAGATCATGGCACTAAGTGCCATGTCCAGTCTCTCCTTAAACACCTCCAGGTGACTTGACTTCACCACTGCCCTGGGCAGCACATTCCAATGTCTAATCTCCCTTTCGGTGAAGAAATTCTTCCTAATGTCCTACCCAAACCTCCTCTGGCACAGCTTCAGGCTATGTCCTCTCATCCTGTCGCTAGCTGACTGGGAGAAGAGACCTCCACCTGGCTACAACCTCCTATCAGGGAGTTATAGAGTGATAAGGTCTCCTCTGAGCCTCCTCTTCTGGGCAGCACATTCCAATGTCTAATCTCCCTTTCGGTGAAGAAATTCTTCCTAATGTCCTACCCAAACCTCCTCTGGCACAGCTTCAGGCTATGTCCTCTCATCCTGTCGCTAGCTGACTGGGAGAAGAGACCTCCACCTGGCTACAACCTCCTATCAGGGAGTTATAGAGTGATAAGGTCTCCTCTGAGCCTCCTCTTCTCCAGGCTAAACAGCCTCTGTTCCTTCAGCCTCTCCTCATAGCGCTTGTGTCCCACACCCTCCAGCAGCTTTGGTGCCCTTCTCTGGACACCTCCAGCACCTCAATGTCCTTGTGGAAGTGAAGGGCTCAGAACTGGACAGAGTCCTAGGAAGGCTGAGATTTTGAAAGATAATATCTCTTTTTCCTACTCTCTCTGCAACTCAGACAGGCAGAGTCTTTGAGTTCAGGAAAGCTCATCGCTGTGTTAACGTGGGCAGCAATCAGCTCTGCTCTGTTCCCCTAAGTCAGGCTTTGCATTTAGGCTTCTCCTGCCTCTGCTGATAACATCTGGCAGAGCTGGAAACCCACAGAGCGATGAAAGGCAAACCCAGTGATCCAAACTGGGAGGGTTGGCTAAGGAACCCTCAATAGATGAAGCAGTGGCACAGCAGGAAAATGGATTAAAAATAGGCATTTATTCATTATTCCCACTGCCTTTACAAGTGATTCCACTGAATGATCACTTAGCTTTTCCTTTTTCTGTATTGGAGAGGAGTAACTGGATTCACTGGTAGAAATCCTTGATTTCTACCAGTGACTCCAACTCAGAAAAAAGCTCTTTTGCAACTCAAGCAGCTCCGTGTTGGAGCTCAGCTTGGCTGTGCTGAGTGGTGAACTTAGTCATGAAATCAGGCCTTGCTCTGAAAAACCATTGCTTAATTCCAGACCCTGCAGCAGCTTCTGCTTCCTCACACCCAGCATAAACCAAATATGAGGCAGTGTCTCTGTTAGGGTGTTGAGTGTGCCCAAAATTGTGAGGCAGAAAATGTTCATGAAATGTTCTAGGCAGAAAGGGACCTGGGAGTGTGGAGAGACAGGAGCTGAACAGGAGCCAGCAGTGTGCTCAGGGGGCCAAGAAGGCAAATGGCATCCTGGCCTGGATCAGAACAGTGTGGTCAGCAGGACCTGGGCCCCAGGGAGGCAGCAGATCCCTCAGGAGTGGATCCAATCTGCATCTTGGGCAGAAACACCACCCAGAAAAGGATCTCACTTCATACTGAATCACTGTCTTCCTCCTTTCTTTTTCTGTTGTTTTTGCACTTTATTTGACTACTTGTGATTAAAAGGCTGGGGCAGAGAATGTGACACTTTTGAGAAGAGCTGATTATGCATCGCATAAACCTCTTGGCATTAGACAAAGATGCTGCTGTTAAAATTGAAGTTTGTATTAATGCAGCTTCAATGTGAGCAGCAATCATTGTTATTAAGAGTCGTTAGGGGAACGAGTTCAGCTGGAAGACACTTCCTGCTATATTTTCAAGCCAAATGAGAGCAGGAGGATGCAATATGTTTTTCAGCAACGTTTCCTTAGTGTTTTAACTGCTCCTTTTATTTCTGGCAGTGGCTGCTTATCGTGAAGCTCAGTCCTCTGGATCCTGCTTGGCCTTGGCTTCCTGATGGATTCAGGTTGCATCCATGGTTATATCCTTGTTATCCCTTCTAGATATCCTTTGCATAATTGCACTAAGCAGTAGGAACAATAGATTTACCACAGCTTCAACTCCTCAGCCTTCGCTTTCCTGCTTTCCTTTGGAGAGGGAGATGTGGAGGGATGTTGCAGGAGAGAGTCTTGTCTTCTAATCATGGCCTGGGGGTCAGTGTTAATTAACCTCCCTTGCAGAAATGATCTCTCCTTGAGGAAGTGTGAAAATGCTGGCAATTTGTAGAGTGGCAATGTGGGCTGGCAGTCAGATGGGGAGATGGGACAACACAACCACCAGATCCCTCCCAGGGCATCCTCCACAGCCAACTTCATTCTGGCCATAAAGTCCCTTCTCTAGAGGTCATGACATCATGGCAGTGCTTAATCATTGTGAAATGATGTACCATTTGCCACCCAAAGGCTCTGAAGATTCTGTTGGTGCAAATGCACTCCCAAGCAATCATGGATAACCTGCCTGATGTGGTCTAGAGGAGGATGTGTCCCTTTGTTGCTGGGGGAGTTCAGCACCGAAGGGTGAGAATTGTTGAAGCTCAATTAGATCCCTTTAGGTTTTCTCTCTGAGCTGCCTTTTATTTACTGTACTTCCACAAGGACAATGTGACTGTCTGCCACTACCCTCACTGATGGACTGCTCAGTGGGAGGTGTTTCTAGAGCCCTTTCAAAGGAGCAGAGCCATCCCCCTGGATTTCCTCCACTGGGTGACTTGGAAAACACAGCCAGAGCCCATCTGACATGTACTGCTGCTGCATCTGCACATCCCCAGCCCCAGCCCAGCAGTTAGCCCTGCCAACCTGCTCTTCAGAGCACCTGGAATGCAGCAGCAAATACCCAGTGTGCCACTCTCCTTCCTGCATTTGCCAGCTCAGCCTGAGCTTCAGCGTCTGCAAGGGGGTGGCAGGTCCTGCCTGGTGACTAATTGTCGTCTTGTTTCACAAGTCAGATGACAATATGATTAATTAGCACTACAATGGCACTGAGAGGGCTGGGTGAAGGCTGTGCTGCATCTTCTGGCAACTCTTTGAATTGCTGAGGCAACTTTGCTCATGCTCCTTTGCTGTTTAGACATTGTGCTCCTTCGTTTTCATTTCATTTGGGTGTTTCATAGAATTTCGACTTAAAAGGGAGCCACTGGTGAGAAGCTGTGGATGCCTCATCCCTGGAAGGGTTTAAGGACAGGTTGGATGGTGCTCTGAGCAACCTGAGCTAGTGGAAGGTGTCCCTACTCATGGTGGGACCAACCTATGCTTCAGCATGAAAATCAAGGCATATTTCCCAGTCCTGTGAGTTAAAGTGCTGATTTTTAGGCTCAAATTTCTGCTTCCCAGATCAAGCAGCTCCACTTTGGCAGCCTCAGGCTCCCCATGTGCAGTAAAGACTGACAGTTCTGGAAGGGCAGCTGAAGGTCACCCCTCCATTTCCTCCTTATTAACATCCTTGAGAGGCAACTATTGCGAGAGGAGAATGAGTCAAAGTTCATTCTGCTCATAATTAGCAGATTACACAAAAGTTCAGTAGCTTCCCCAGCAGAAGAGTTAAAGATTGAGTTCACTCACCTGTCCCTACAATTAGCAGCTATAAAGGTGTCACAGGGAAATAAAGGGAGAGAAAGGAAAAGCTCCAATTTCCCCAGAGGAAGGTGCAGCTCTGCAGGGAGGGGGATGGAGCTCTGGGTCTGCTGCTCTGCAGTGCACAAAGGAGACAGATTTAACACCTCACTTCAATTTACTTGCAATTAGCCCCTCCCCAGAAGATGCCATTGACCTCATCAGCAACGAGATGGAGTTTCACAGTTAATTTTTTCCTCTATCATCCTAATGAATTGAGGCAAAGAGGGAGAAGGAGAGAAGGGAAGAGATCACTTGGGTAATTTTCCAGCAGTAGAAAACACAGGGATGCTGAGAGGAGTGTGAGGATGGGTTGGTTTGTGAGGTCTTCATTTACCGTTACCCAACCCAACCCACATCTTGTGTCTCAGGCACATGTGCTCCCTTTTGGGGCAGAAAAGTAGATTTTTCCCATTTTTTCATTTTGCTGCCCAAGGCAGGAAAGAATCTGTGCCTCTATATCACAGGCCTTAAGGAAACAAAGATCATAGAATCATATCATAGAACTTTAGAGATTGGAATGGAGCTTAGAGATGATCCAGCCCCAATCCCTGCCCTGGGCAGGGACACATCCCACCAGAGCAGGTTGCTCAAGGCTTCAGCCAACCTGGCTGTGGACACTGCCAGGACTAGGACAAAGTTGTCTTTCTGCTGTGTCTGACACCAAAAGCTCCAAAAAGGAGGTGGTGAAGAGAAACCTGTTCAAAATATGAAAAGCCAAAATACAACAGTGTTTCAAAATGAAAATGTCGAATATTTTGGTAAGATGAAAGTGAAACATCCTAAAATTCTCATTATGAAGAGTCTACTGGTGTCTAAAAATGCCACAAATTTTAGACAGTTTCCTGAACACTTGAGATTGCTCCAAACAAGTATTTTTTTGGATGAGCATTTTTTTATGAGTTGCCCTTTTTGCATTCCCTCTGTCCTTCCTGGGCTGCACCTGCCCTTCTGGTTTCCTTTTCTCACCAAGGAGGTGGTGTAAATCCCAGGGATTTATCATCACTCAGCAGTAATTATTCCAGGGAAGAATGCTGCTCACTTTCCATTTTCTTGTCATTTTTCCAGAGTGTGAAAACATTCTTAATTTAGATGCCATGGCCATGCCATCACCTCCAGTACCTGTTTAATAATAAATCCTTCCATGCCAAGACCTGGTGCTTCTCCTGGGGCTAGGGGAGGCACCAATTCCCAGTCCTTAGCTCCAGGTGATGTTGGGGATGGTACCACCAACTCATGGGGCTTCCCACATTCTCCTCAGTAACAACTGGAAGGATTTAATCTTTAGTAAATAAGACTTAAGCCATTTAAATTGTCATGGGATGATCCAACACAGAATTCCTGGTTAGTGAAAGAAAAACAGGAGAACTGGGTAAAGAACTGGCTGATAGCTCAGAGAGACGTGGTGAATGGAGCTAAATCCAGTTGGGACTGTCACTAATGATGTTCCCCAGGGTTCAGCATTGGGGTCTGTTCTGTTTAATATCTTTATTGATGATCTGGATGTGGGGATTGAGTGGCCCTCGGGGAGTTTGCAGAGACACTGAGCTGGGTGGGAGTGTGGATCTGCCTGAGGGTAGGAAAGCTCTGCAGAGAGACCTGGACAGACCTGATCAGTGGCTGAGGACAAGTGCAGGAGGGTCAGTAAGGCTCAGTGCTGGTCCTGCCCTTGGGACACAACAGCCCATGCAGCTCCAGGGTGTCAGATTGGATGTGAGGAGAAATGTTTTCCCTGTTGTGGTGTTGAGGCCCTGGGGTATTGCCCAGGGAGGTGGTGGAGTCACCATCCCTGGAGGTGTTTCAGAGGTGTCTGGATCTGGTGCTGGAGGATCTGGTTTAGGGGTTCCAGCAGTGAGAGGTTAATGGTTGGACTTGATGATCTTAGAGGTCTCCTCCAGCCCTGAAGATTCTATGATTCTATGAATTCCAAAGTGTTTTACCCTATCCACATTCCCTGTCCCACTGTGGCCAAGTTTTCATTTGCATCCCTTACTGTAGGTATTATAAGTTAATGAAATAGAAATTGATCTTTAGAAGAGCACTTTGCAAGGTTCAGTTGCTATCTAATTAATTTAATTTGAAATTACATCAGGAATAAAGCCTTAATTGCCTTCTTATCAATACATTGTATTTTGTAAAGGACATAGGACTATTTAACCACACTATGGTTTTCTTAGAGCAGAATAATTGGTATTTTAAGCATACAACTATCATAGTAAGTGTAAAATATTTATTTGCACACTTAATTTCAAGTGGGATCAAAACCTCAATGAACATGCAAATGTTCCAGCTGCTGTTTAACTCCTTGCCTGCCTCTCCAGGAAACAAGAACATCTCCACATCAAGGAGAACAGCTTGAAGGGGCAGCATGAGGTGATGTAAAGTATGTTCTTGTGGTTGCAGCAAGTTTTGATTCGTGGGATTCCAGTTGTTTAGGGTAGGGGTGGCAGATTAATAGATGAATTAATAGATTATTAGTTTAATGGATTAATAGATTTGTTCTTCTCTGTGAGGACAGGCTGAGGGAGTTGGGGCTGTTGAGCCTGGAGAAGAGAAGGTTGTGTGGAGACCTCAGAGCACCTTCCAGGAGCTGAAGGGGCTCCAGGGAAGCTGCAGAGGGATCTGTGTTAGGAGCTGCAGGGACAGCACAAGGGGCAATGGGCACAAATTGAAGGAGGGAAATTGAGGTTAGATACTAGGAAGAAATGTTTTCCTGTTCTGGTGGTGAGACACTGTCCCAGGTTGCCCAGGGAGGCTGTGGCTGCCCCAACCCTGGCAGTGTTCACAGCCAGGTTGGCTGAGCCTTGAGCAACCTGCTCTGGTGGGAGGTGTCCCTGCCCAAGGCAGGGGCTGGGGCTGGATCATCTCTAAGCTCCATTCCAACCCTTTAACATTCTATAATTCTATGTGACACCTTAGGAATCATATAATTTGTAGTGAAGCTTTTGAACCCTTTTTACCTTCACCTAAGTCTCTTTTTTTCGCTCCAAGATGTGTTTATATCTCTTATAAACAGAATCACACTAAAACACTGACATGTTTTCTCTGTCTGAGGATTCAGTAACCACCATCACTAAGCAGATAAATCAGCATCAAGCTTTCCCCACTTCCTTCCCTTAGCACAGGACTTGGATTTTGCAGTGTATAAGCTGCCAGGAAGAATAATTAAATACAGGAAAACTACCTTTGATTTAAAAATGGCAAGGGGAGAAATGAAATCCTGCAGAAGCCACAACATATCCACAGAACTGTGTGGTAACTTGTCAAGTAAATTAATTTCGAGCTGTTCTCTTCTGCCATAAAAATATTATAAGCTGTGATGTATTTCTTTCATATATGTGTGTGTGTATATCTATATGTTATACAGCACCAGTTAAAAATAGCAGCTGGGAAGTAGCAAGATCAGATATTACTGAAGTGCTTTCAGACCTGTCATCACACCATCACTATTTAGCTTTAATATATGTTGAATTTCAAATGCACTAGAGATATATTTTTCATGAGACACAGTAAGTAATCTTTGGGCCACTCTAGTTTTTGTCATCTGCTTCAGACAGTTTTATACAGCACCAGTTAAAAATAGCAGCTGGGAAGTAGCAAGATCAGATATTACTGAAGTGCTTTCAGACCTGTCATCACACCATCACTATTTAGCTTTAATATATGTTGAATTTCAAATGCACTAGAGATATATTTTTCATGAGACACAGTAAGTAATCTTTGGGCCACTCTAGTTTTTGTCATCTGCTTCAGACAGTTTCTTGAGAAGAGAAGAGGCTCAGGGGTGACCTCCTGGATCTCTGCAACTCCTGCCAGGGCTGGAGAGAGGTGTGGGATGTGTGTCCTGCCAGGGCTGCAGGGAGAGGATAGAGGGAATGGCCTTGAGCTGAGCCAGGGCAGAGTCAGATTGGATGTGAGGAGAAATGTTTTCCCTGTTGTGGTGTTGAGGCCCTGGGATATTGCCCAGGGAGGTGGTGGAGTCACCATCCCTGGAGGTGTTTCAGAGGTGTCTGGATGTGGTGCTGGAGGATCTGGTTTAGGGTTTACAGCAGTGAGAGATTAATGGTTGGACTTGATGATCTCAGAGGTCTCTTCCAAATTTGATGATTCTGTGATTTGGGGGAAACTAGATCTGCAGCCCCTGACCACCATCACTTTGGACTCTGGGGACAGGAGGGGCTGTGCTGGGTCTGGGAGGTGCCTGTTCACCATGTGCGTTGCAGATGTGCC